TGCAGCTTGTTTATTCCCAGGGGACTAAGCCATGCCAGACTCCCACAGAGACTACGAGATAATAAATGGTGGGTTGTTTTAAGCTGCTACATTTGTGGTAATTGGTTGTATAGCAGTAGATAGCTAAATTACCATCTCTTTGAATTTGTTTAAAAAAAAAATCAACATAGAAAAAGTTAAATTCATTGTGGACATTCTTATTTGTAGCAGATGTAGGTGTTTTAGTTAAATAAATGTATGAATTACTGAGTATTAACACTAAATACCCTCAAGGCATTATCCAGAGCTTTGTGTTAAATGTTTGAAAAGATTATAGTCTTGTTTTGGTACCATCTGGACCAGAAATGAGACCTTAATTTAATGAACTTACTTTTGTTGTTTCTCTCTAAAAGTACTTTGTCTTGAAATTCAATTTTGGCCTTATCATAGTTATTAATTAGAGCCCCTAACTGGGTGGTTCTTCTTTTTTTTTTTTTTCTTTTTTGAGACAGAGTCTCTCTCTGTCACCCAGGCTGGAGTGCAGTGGTGTCATCATAGCTCACTGCAACCTCAAACTCCTGCCTCAGCCTCCTCCCAAGTAGCTACCACGCCTGGCTAATTTTTTCTATTTTTAGTAGAGATGGGGTCTTGCTCTTGCTCAAGGTGGTCTCGAACTCCTCCTGAGCTTGAGCAATTCTCCTGCCTCAGCCTTCCAAAGTGCTAGGATTACAGGTGTGAGCCACTGTGCCTGGCCCCTGACTGGGTTCTTTTATCAGTTTTGGAAGAAAAATACATACCTCTCTGCTGTGCTTTTGAAAACACATGTGTGGGCTGTACATATATGTCCTCATGGGTGGTTTCATTGTACACCACGAAGTCATGGAAAGTCTAGTGTTAGAACTCATTAATTAATAATGAATTTCCTGATTAAGTTCTTGCGTTTCAAAGAATCTTGACTTGGTGTTGAAAGACAATCTAGATAGTAATCAATAATACCAAAAATTGTTTGGGGCCAAATACCCGGCATAGGCAAAGACCTAACAATGAACAGAAAAATATACAAAAGCAAAATGAAATAAAAAAATATACCCTTCCTAACAACAACAAAACTCCTCTGAAGTGTTATTTCAGTTTAGGAAACAAAAGTCACCCTGCTTCTTGTTTCTTATCCAACACAGTTAAGTTTCTGTGGAGTACCTTGATTAGTTGCAGCCAGAGCTTCTCAGACTTCGATGTGTGTGCAGATCACCTACAGGTTTGGTAAAATGCAGATCCTGACTCTAGGTCTGGGTTGGGGCCGGGATTCTGCATTGCAGTCGCGCTCCCAGGTGATGCTGATGTGAGGATGGAGTCTGGGGGCCCAGCCCTGCTCTCCCTGTGCCCACGAGCAGCCTGCTACCTCGCTGCTCTCAGGTAACGCTCACCTTGTCCTTCTTCCTCAGCCCCCATTTCCAGGCAATTCCACTCCTCCATTAGGGTTTTCAGGCATTTACCATTTAACTAGGCAGTCTCATATTTAAGCTCTTTATCTAGGAAGGTGTGTGTGTGGGAGAACAACTGGATCCCTAAGTGTCTTTTTTTCAGCAATGACAAATGCTCTCACGTACCAAGGTGCTTTAGGGATGGCCCTCAGTTTATGCAGACTTCCGTAGCTGAAACTGCCATAACAGGGTGTCCAGAGGGTTTCCAGAGACACTGGACTGTGCCAGGGGTAGACTATTACTCTGCCCTGGAGGGGATGGTGTCACAAGCTTTCCCTGGTCCTTGTAGACATCTCTCAGCTAATACCTAGGCCCTGTCCTGGGAGTAACTGTGGACTTCAGTGAAATAATTCAGTGCAAATATTATTAAGAATGCATAATGTACAAAGCTGCCCTTTTTAGGTTGGAACAGGTGTGCATTTATAAAAGATTCCTCCTCCTAGAACTAAGCCCTGTAAGCCCCAAATATCTTTAATCCAGCCTTGATTAAAATTTAGATGAGACCAAAGACCACCAGCTTCTTCTGTAGCAGGAACCTTATGAGGATCCAGCTGCTTTTGAGAATGCAGAGCCCCGAGTCAGCAAATTACCTTATTAGATAGATAAATTAGATTGAGTACTGATAGGCGAGCTGCCATTTATTTTAGTTCGGCTCTATTTATTTTGTGCCTTGTCATCATAAAATTGAGATTCTTAAGTTTTTACTAAGTAAACAAGTAATAATGAAAGATTTATTTTAATAGCTCCAAGGACCATTGATGTTTTGCAACTCTATTTGTCATAGGAAACTATTTGTTAAAACATTTGCTGTAGGGAGCTGTTTATAAACTCTGTCGTAGAAGGTTGATTTATGCTGCAGCCTTGGGGTGCCGATCACCTCCCTGATCTGGTTTTGATTAATTCATCCAGTTTAAACGACCCTGCAGACAGCCTCAGAAATAGGAATACAGCTAAAAGCATTCATTGGTGTAAAAAGGTTATTATTGCAAGCTAAATAAATGATGCCAACAATTAACTTTAAAACACAAAGCAGATTTTCAGGGTTTTTTTTTTCATGACACAGCATTCAGACCTTCAGGAAATCTCATTGTCTCCTCCTTGTCCCTTTGTCTTCAGTGCCTGCCTCATAGATAACTACTCTTACGTAACCAGTTAACCCAAGACTTAGCAGCTTGCAACAGTAAATATGTAGCATTTTACAAGTTCCATTGGGAATTTGGGTGCAGCTCAGCTGCTGCAGTTCTCATAAGGCTTCAATCAAGGTGTCAGCTGGGGCTGTCATCTCATCCGAAAGCTTGATGGGGGAATACTCTCTTCCAAGTTCGTGTACGTGGTCGTTGGCAGAATTCAGTTCCTCGTGGGCTCGTGGCCAGAGGCTTCTCTCTGTTTCTTGCCACTTTGGCCTCTCCATGGAACTGTTCACAACATGGCAGCTTTTTACCTCCACTGTGAGGGCTCCAAGAGAGAAAGGGAGAAAAGGAGAGAGAGAATGAAGTGCATGGTTTTTTTTAGCCTACTCTCTGGAGGGACATCCCATCACTGTGTTTATTAGAAGCAGGTTGCTAGGTGTAGCCTATACTATAAAGGGGAGAGGGTTGCATAAGGATGGAAGATCACAAGGCAGGGATCTCTGGGGCTGTCTCAGAGTCTTTCTGCGACACACAGTGAGGGCTGAGTGGATGAGAGCTGGATGGACCCATCTAACCCTACTGGATGTGCCAGATCACTGTCCTTCTCAGTGAGACCCACACCCCAGGGTTTCGCGCAGTCCTTGTTCAGAGTTCCAGCTGGTTGTGATTCGCTTGAACATGTGTGCTGTCGGCTAAGGACTGGTGCGTTTATGTGCATGTATATTTTGTTCTATATAATGTGTGTAAAGGTGTTTTTGCTTGTTGTCATGTTTTGTAAAATTCTGAAAACGGAATTAAGAAGAGAAAGGTGGCCTGAAGCCAGAGTCCACTCTCAGATGATAGTGAGCTCAGTATGATGGGTGGGAAGGTAGCTGTGGAATTTTAAAAGGTTACCACTGGCTCATTCTTGCCATTTAGATCTCAGTTTAAATGTCATCACCTCAGAGAGGCCTTTCCTGTCCATCTAATTTAAATTAGCCGTCGCCTCACTCTTAATTCTCCGAGTGGCCCTCAGCACTCCCAGACTCTCTTCCCTGCTTATTTACCTGTTACTCATCTTCTGTCTCCCGCACAAGAACTAAGCACCAGGAGAGCAGGGACCTCATGCTCGTGGTCCCCCTTGTATCACCAGCACCTAGCACAGGTCCCAGCAAACACCAGGCTCTCAGTAGATCGTTATTGAACAGATGAACATATCAAACACCTGGACATGAAATGATTCTAAGGACCTTTTTGGAAATTATTGTATCATTATGACTTCCAAAGGAAATGACATTTATTCAGTTAACATGCATAATACATTACTTTATTAAAAAGGAAAACAGCCTCAAGGTTACAGGGTAGTTTTGTCCCTGCCAGTAAGTGCTGGAGGGCCGTTCAGCAAATCATGTCACCTGCCTGGGCCTTGGAAGATGAACTGAAGATTGGGATCCTCAGACTGTGCTGTGTCTATCACCTGACCCGGCTCAGGCAGTGGAATTTCCAGACGCTGCTCCTTAAAAACAACTCTGTTTTTCATGGTTTCGACATCTGTCTGCCACGTAAGGTTCTGGTTGAAGAAAGGATTCTGTGGCCAAAGAAAGAGAAAAGTTTGAAACCCACGGGGTTTCTGTGCCCACTAATGGCCATTCCAGCTCTGCCCAGGCAGGCACCAGCGGCAGTTCTGGGGTGTAAGGGTAGAGACCCGAGGCCCACAAAGCTGCAGTCCAGCAGAACCAACCAGAAGAGCAAGGCAGGTGATGTCAGGTGACCCAGAGCCCTCTAGGAACATAAAGAGTCCCCTCCCCACCCCCAGCCTCACACCTTGCTAATGCCCACACCATTCTGCCTCTGCCATGTCATGTACTCACGTTGAGATTCCTTTCGGCACCGTGTTTCCCACCAGATAGCCAGAGCTTCAGAGCGCCAAGTTCTATGATTAAAATTCTGTCACGTTCCCCCTAAACGGTGCAAATGGTGCCATGAAACCTGGCAGAAAAGATTTATAAGCTACTTCACTTCACCTAGTAATTTAAATATAATACTTCTGGCAGCATTCGATTTTCGGCATTTTTAATTCTAATTAAAGAACTATTACTGAGCATTCATATCCTCTATACTGTATTCTGTTGTGTCTCTGTGCTTCATTTTGGCCACCTGGCTCGTAAACAAACAGCTTGGTCGCGTGGCTGTGGCAGCCCACGTGTGTTTTCCTGGCCTTTGGGAATCACCGGGTCCCAGGCATAATTAGTATAAATCAAAATCCTCTAGACTGTGACAGGAAAATGGTATGTTTGAACAGCAGCTTATTAAAATGACCTACTTAATTTAGGAAAAATATTGTATCCACTTGCATGGTAACCTGGTTGCTCTCCCTGGCAGATTTCACAACATTTCTCCCTCTCTCTTTTCTTTTTTTCTTTTTGTAAAGAAAAGGAAAGGGAATGGAAGGGTCCATTCTACTTCATCCAAGGTGCAGACCCACAGTTTGGACTGATGAAGGCCTGGTCCACCGGGAACTGTGACAGCGGCGGTGACGAGTGGCAGCAGGAGATCCGTCTAACCGAGCAAGCCGTGCAGGCCATCAACAAGCTGAACCCCAAACCCAGGTTCTTCGTTCTGTGCGGCGACCTCATCCACGCCATGCCAGGTAGGACTCAGATTGTCACTCGTGACCTTTCCTCCTACAGCCAGTCGTGACCTCATGTGGGCAGGAAGGAAAAAAAAGAGATTTTGCTCCGAAGACATCTTTATGCAGTAATAGCCCATTCTTTCCCTCCGTGACTGTTGCAGTATCATTGAGCATCAGAAAATGCACACTCATTTTATATTTAGAGTTTGGCGAGATTAATCACTGTAATTAGGCAGAACTACAGTTCTGAGGATCTGAGCTTCCTACGGAAAATGGGACAGATTCCCACGTATCACCTTTCTGCATTTCCAGGGACAAACTTGAACTGCTTCCAGATACCGTGTCCATAAATGTAATCTTCTCGTTTCCTTTCTTCTTAACGCTTTTACTTCTCCCGTATTTTTTGGTGCTTTTTTGGTTGCAAGTGATAGAAACCCAGTTTAAACTGGCTTAAATTTTTTTTTAAAGGTATGTGTTGCCTCATGGGGCTATAAAGTCCAGAGGCAGATAATGGGTTTCAGGTACAGCTGGATCCAGGGGTTCAGAGGTTGTTAATAGCACTCGATCTCTCCATCACTGAGCTCTCCTTTCCTCTGGGTTGATTTCGTTCGCATGCAGGCTCTCTCTAGATAGTGGCTCCTGGGAGCTTTAAGTTTATATCCTTTTCATATTACAGAAACCACAACAGAAAGATAGTACCTTATTCTTGGTGGTCCACACAAAGTCCTGGACCAATTCTCATCTGGCTCATAGCTGCAGCCATAGCATGGGGTCAGCCCCACTGCAACCACATGGTCTAGAGAACAGGATGGTTTCTCTAAAACAAACTAACAAAAAAAGTGAGATGCTGGAAATACAACAGTAGCACATACCTTCAAGAACTCTCTTCCTTTTTTTGTTTTTTCCTGCTCTGACGTCCTCTCCTAGGCGAGGATAGAGTCCAGCGAGCAAGTTAAAAAGGAAATGGAAGGCGCCCCTGTCCCTATGGAGACAGAGATGACCTGAAGACCATTGCAGAAAATACAGCAGTGGCTGTCTGCCTGTGGCTTAACTTCACCTTGTAAACCAAGACTTTTAGTCCTGCTGCGATGTCTAACTCCTTTAGAAGCTGAGGCACCCTGCAGGAAACCTGGGTGGATTAGTTCCTCCCTACTGAGGCTCTCTTCTCTGGTAGCCCCCCTTTTTAAAACAAAACCCAGAATGAAGATGCAGGGATGGAAAAAGGGCAGCCCAGAATTGCTCTCTCTAAAGTCCAGGGCCTGTATATAGCCAGCAGGGAGAACCCTCAGACCTCCCCTCCTTCCCCGCTTGCTTGTATTTTACACAGAGCCATGTATGTGGACACGCCCATGTCACTGACTCCCACCAGGTAGAACCCTGTGATGTCCTCCCTGAGGAAGCAGCTGTCCTGGCAGGAGACAGGGCAGGCAAGAGAGGGGACAGGAAGGCAGTGGGCAAAGTCCTGTATTACAGCTCAGGTGGCTGTGATGCCAGCTCATGTCTGCCGCTGATGCACTGGGTGAGCATGCGCAAGCCCCTCATCTTCTGAGGGCCTCAGATTCTGAGCCAAGAGCCCATCAAAGCACAAGGAATTTAAAACCTCAACAGTCCGGGGCTACATAGGGCAGGGACAGAGAATTCTATACCTTCGTACAGGTGATGAACATCTCAGCAGCTTGGTACAGAAACAAGGATGGTCCTGAATTCTTTTCTGTTGAGAGGTCAAATCTCAGCCGCTTGTAAACTTGGTCACCCTGATGATTCTTCTCTTAGGGTGCTGAGACTGTATAATACTGAAGTGACTAAAAAATGCCTTGGCTTCTAAAGGAGTTAGAAATCATAGCAGGACTCAGAGCTTTCTCAGGTGAAGCAAGGTCAATATGTTGACCAAACTGATTAATGCGACTTCCAAAAGGTCTGATTTTCAGTTCACCGGTTTCTCTGGGACTACATGGCCCCATATGCATATCAGCTAGAGCTCTTGCTCTGGACCGCACAGTGAGCAAACTTCTGCTTTTATTGGACATGTGAAAATAAGATTTCAAATTTAACATTTTTGGTTCGGTGGTTTTGTTCTCTTTAAAAACAGAATATTACAGGGCTCACTAGAATTATATAACATGTCCTCATAGATGTTTACCAAACATGTTCTGAATTCTGCTAATGTATTCAGTCATATTTCAAAATCAAATTTAAAATAAAAGCTTTCCATGCAATTACATTGCTTCTTAAATAAAATATACTGAGCATAAATTAAACATTGTAAATTGAAAGATATGGTTTTTATGATCAGCCCTACCAGTTGGTCAGAAGACTTTGTAAATGTGAATTGGCAAACTTTTGAACATGTATTTTATATTCAGTGTGACTCAAGCAGAATTCATAATCTATTCTGAAGATTTGGACTGTTTTATAGGGTTTTAACTGAGCCCGTGAAAGGGCTGTAACTGTTTTGAATATCGTAGTCTGAGATTAAGCAGAACATTTTAAAACTAGTTACCATTTTTTAATATGCAATAGGTGGTTTCCCTCTCATTTAGCTCATATGCAGCAGTAGATACTAGGAAAGCAATTATTTGCTTTGACTACTTAGCACATTGTTAATTATCAAATGCATATATTAATAGGCAAATAAAATCAGAAAGCATACTTTTAATTCTACCATAAATATCTTGGGCCAAGTAGATTTAGATTCAAAATGGAGAGAAAGCTTTCAGAGCAATGCTTTTTTAATGAAAGCAATAATATGCTTTTCCATTATAAATATCCATCATAATATTCATTCATCTAAAAACATTTAGTGCGTGCAAACTCTAATAAGTTCCAGTTACAGTGCTAGATACTGTGGGTATACTAGTGGAAATGAGAGACCAGGTGTTGATATAGGGTTAGAGTCTGGTGAGGGAAAAAAGAAACTTGGGTGTTAAGTGGAGTCCTTGATGCCAAGCCTATAGGAAAACCCCTAAGAAATAAATGCAAGCTGCTTTGTTTCAGACAAAGTCCATTTAGTTTTGAAACACGTTTTCATTCTGCAAACATCTTTTTGGTTATCTTGGTGTTCTCTTGTCTTATAAAGCTTCTCTATGGGATAAGTCACATTATAAGTAGCAAATGAAGATTTGTACAAATACCGAGACCATTGATTTTCATCCTTTACTCTTAAGCCCAGAGTTACTCTTGTCAGTCCCACTGACGTGGAGGCATCGACTCACTGATACCGTCCCCAGGAGCCTTGTTAGATTTCAGCAATTATGTGTAAAGCTGACAGACTGGAATGGGATTGTACGATTAGGGAGCCAAAGATTCCTTGGAGCCTCTAGCACAGTTTGTTAAAAACACACACACGTCCATCCCTGTTTATTAAAAGTTGCCATAACCACACAAAACAGATGGCTAATGGATGAATTCTTCCCTCGATACAAAGTCTCCCCGAAGAGTTCTTTATGTATTGACCTCTGCTTGGGCGACTATGGTGTGATTCAGTTTAGGTTGCTGATAGCCTCGGGAACTCCTCTGTTCTGGGAAGGGAGGCAAGTTTGCATTGGCGTTATTATAACAGATGGTGTGTTCATTTCCTGCCATTGCTGTAAAAAATAACCACAGACTTAGTGACTTCAGACAACACATATTTATTCTCTTCTGAATCTCAAGGTCAAGAAGTCCAGCTTGAGTTTGCTGAGGTGTGTGCCTTCCAGAGGCTCCAGCTTCTAGAGGCCGCCTGCGTTTCTTGTCTCGTGCCACTTCTTCCATCTTCATAGCCAGCAGCCTTGCATCCTCCCTCCTCTCTGACCTCTGCTCCATCCTCTCATGTTCTTTCTTATTTCTCTCCCTCTTCTGCTATCCTCTTAGGAAGACCTGTTTGTTTATGTTGGGCACATTCCAATAACCAAGGATAATCTCTCGATCTCAAGATCTTTAGCTTAATCATATCTGCACATCCCCCTTTTGCCATATAAGGTAACATATTCACAAGTTCCAGTGGTTAGGATGTTGAACATCTCTGGGGGACACTATTCAGCCTACCACTGAATATGGGCGTGGGATGGAATTCAGGGTCTCTTATCTGCTAGGGATTGCACTGTTAGCGCACCTACTCATTACAGTCTTGCAAAGCAGGAGTCAGTGTTATTTCCATTTTGCCTGATGGGGAAACTGGCTCAGAGCAGTGAATTACTTTTCCCGAGGCCACTGGGCTTATAAGTGGGTGACTCAAGTTCATCTGTTTCCAAACCTCATGCACTTCCCACCGCAGCCTGGCCGTTCACAGGGTGGTCCCCAGAGCAGCAGCTGGAGCTTGTCAGAGGTGCAGAATCTCTGCTCCACCCAGATCTCCTGGGTCAGAATCAGCATTTTAACAAGGTCCCCAAGTGAGTCTTATGGACAGTAAGGTTTTGAGAAACAGTTACAAAGTTGAACATCCGTAATCTGAAAACTTGAAATGCTCCAAAATCTGAAACTTTGTGAACACTGACATGATGCCACAGCGGAAAATTTCACACCTCTGGTCCCAAGCATTTCGGGTAAGAGATGCTCAACCTGTAATAGTTGACATTGAACATGAGGTTTAACAGTGCAGAAAAAGTGCCTGTAGAAGACACGGTAAAAATGTGTATCTTAGTCCATTTTCTTTTGCTTGTAACAGAATACATGAAACAGGGTGATTTATAAGAACTGAAATTTATTTCTTAAGTTATGGAGGCTGAGAAGTCCAAAGTCAAGGGTCTGTGTCTGGCAAGGGCCATCTTGCTGGTGGGGACTCTCTGCAGAGTCCCGAGGTGATACAAGGTATCACGTGTTGAGGGGGCTGAGTGTGCTAGCTCAGGTCTCTCTCCCCGTTCTTAAAAAGCCACCAGTCCCGCTCCAGTGATAACCCATTAATCCGTGAATGGATTAATTCATTCATGAGGGCTCTGCCCCACCTCTCAATACTGCCACATTGGGTAGTAAATTTCAACATAAATTTTGGAGGGGGACAAATATTCAAACGGTAGCAATGTGTCATGTGATGGGCTATTGAA